GCTGCTACTCGTAAGTCGTCTCTTGGTTTTTCACCTCCTCTTTAATTTATTTATAAATTGGCTATGATTGATATGATCGTACGTATGTTAACTGATAAGGACATAAATTTTGATACCTTTTTATTCAGTTTCTTCTTTTTAAAACTATAAAATAAAGATTTTGGATGCATGCACTTGAAGTAATTTGTATAACTGGATATAACAGAGTAGTGATTTTACATATTTTGAGATACAACACACACGTACGTTTGCAAATTGAATTTTTAATATTTTAACAGATACTAATTGCAGAGAAACAACCATCGTTCTTTTCACCATGTCTAGTGGTTTTGAAAATGGGTATTTGAGATTGTTATAGTTATTTTGTTTCGGATGGATGATTTACGTCTTTTAACGCAACATTATCAACGATTGATTGATTGATTCTAAATATATATGCCGGAGATATTATCGGACGGAATTCATAACTTTGGTTTATTTATTTTTGTATAGAAAACTATGGTTTTAGAGTAAAATAAATACTATATGAGAACACACAAACTACACAAGTACATATTATTTTCAATATATTCTTTTTTGTTTAATGTGAAATTGTTTTCAACTTTTCATTTTGTAGCTCTCGCATGCGTCTAGCGAAATTGCCAAAAGTCCATTACTATCATTTTATGGGCCATAGCAATATTAATCAATAGACCCAAAAATAATATGACACAAATCAGTAAAAAGCCCACAATTTGGTTTAACTATTTTTTCGACAGACGGGTAAACTAGCGAGTGTGGTTCACGCGCGGAGAACGGAAACGATCGGAAAATGGTTCAACCACCGAGAATTGATCGGCGGAGGAAGGAACTCCGCCCTGAGAAAGAGAGACAAAGCTCGAATAGAGAATGCCCATCTGCATTCCGCCGTCTCCGTTGCGTCTCTGGCAACGGCGATCGCCGCCGTGACCGCTTCTTGTAACCAAGAAAGCTTCAAAGGATCAAAAATGAGCTCAGCGCTTGCCTCGGCGTCGGAGCT